CCCAGGGTCCTGGATCAGGCTCCCTACTCAGCTTCTCCCCCTCCCTCTGCCAGCCACTCTGCCTACTTGTGCTCTCCTATCTCTCTGTCAAATAAATGAAATCTTAAAAAAAATTAAATGTCTGTAGGGCTCTTTGAGCAGCAAAGCCCTGGGGCCTGGGCAAAACTCAAAGTATTGAGTGAAGTTGAGTTTTGGTTGTATCTCACAGTTGCTCTTGCTCGGTAGGTTGACTACCTCTGCTTGGTATGTTTGTGATGTGCCATGCTACTATGCTTTTTCATTAATTTGGCTACACCAGCTTTCTTTTGCTTAGTATTCACCCAATATATATTCTTCCATCTTTTTATTTTGAACTTTTCTGGGTAATTTTAAGGACATCTTTGAGAAAAAGCATGAAACCAGATTCTGTGCCTTGAAAAAAAATCCAATCTGAGCTTTTCTTTTACCATGAGTTTAACCTATCTACATTTATTATTATTGATGTAGATGTATTTCTGCCTTCCTATTTTGTGTTTGTTTTTTTTTTCTTTGCATTTTCCCCTTCCTCTCTTTTCCTGCCTTCTGTTGGACCAAGAGAGTTTTCTTTGGAAATCTGGAACTTGTGGCGCCTGGGTGGCTCAGTGGGTTAAAGCCTCTGCCTTTGGCTCAAGTCATGATCCTGGGGTCCTGGGATCGAGCCCCACATCGGGCTCTCTGCTCTGCAGGGAGCCTGTTTCCTCCTCTCTCTCTGCCTACTTGTGATCTCTGTCAAATAAATAAATACAATCTTTTAAAAAAAAGAAATCTGGAATTTACACATTCTATTTTTTTATTTTATAAACACATTCTATTTTTATCTTTTAGTGCTTATCCTAAGATTTTTTCTAAATAGTTTAACTATATTTTTAAACAAAATATAGACTATCATCAACTTCTGTCCTCTTCCTTAAACACTTTTACATTTTGAATTTTTTCAAAAAAACATAGAACAATTTCTGATAACTGGAATTTCTACATACAAGCTGTTAACCATTATAATTCATAGTTCATGATGCACATTTAAATGTTTTCTCATTTGATTCCAGAAAAAGCTCAGCTAAGTGTTACCTTCATAATGAATTAATGAATTAAAAAAAGAAAGTCTGGAAAAGAGGTCTTCAAATCCTTTTTGAGAGTAGGGAGAAGGGTGGGGGGGGGGAGAAAGAATCTTTTTTTGAGATTTTTATTTTTATTTATTTATTTGATGGGAGTCGGAGTGAAGACAGCACAGGAATGAACTTGAGCACAAGCAAAGCTAGTGGCAGGCAGAAGGAAAAGCAGGCTCCCCACTAACTGAGCATGGAGCTCCATGTGGGGGCTCAGGACCCTGGGATCATAACCTGAGCTGAAGGCAAGACACTTAACTGACTGAGCCACCCAGGTGCCCATGAGCACTTCAATTATTTTTTTTTAAAGATTTTATTTATTTATTTGACAGACAGAGATCACAAGTAGGCAGAGAGGCAGGCAGAGAGAGAGGAAGGGAAGCAGGCTCCCATGTGGGGCTTGATCCCAGGACCCCAGGATCATGACCTGAGCCTAAGGCAGAGGCCCCACCCCACTGAGCCACCCAGGTGCCCCGAGCTCTTCAATTCTTATTGGTGTCCTTAAAGTCCCTTAAAAGTCTGGAGACCTCAGGTTGAGAACCACAGATCTTAGGAATACAGTCTTTACCCTTTCCTTTTGGGAAGGGAGAGAAATATAATTTTTGAACTTTTGTTCTGTGCCAGAAATTTGTCTTAGGCTAAACAAGCCTTCTATTTAATGGCCACCTTCTTTGCTTTCTAGGTGTTTGATGGATGTCATGAGAGTCATTTCACAACATGCTTCTGTACCAATCTACATACATTCTCCTAGATGGAAAATGGGCCTATTTATGTTGATAGTGATATTGATGAAAACAATAAATAACAATTTTAGTAACTATTTATTATGGAACCACTACTTTAGCTAGGCGCTGTATCTCAGGAGGTAAACTCTCAGATCCACCCTTCAGTTTTAGAAAGGAAGGCATTTAGTTATTAAGATGGCTAGATGAAACTACATCACCTGTGCAGTTTCAAAACAGAGGCACTTGCTAAATCAACAGAGATTCTGGCAATAGTTTGCATACACTTACTATAATTGCCCCCTTTTTTTTTTAAATCAATGGGATGGCCTGGTTTAGGTCCTAATAAAGTATTTTGGGCCTCTCCTGAGTATTACTAAGGTGTAGTCTTTAAAAAAATAAAGCAATTAACAAGAAGAAATCAGCTAAAGTAAAAAGAAACCACATATGAACTTAACTGGAAATTACTGAATTATCAGTCATTGGGGTATTAACATGTGTATTGTGTTCTTAAATTTTTCTCTCCTCCCATTTCCTACAGAGATCCAGGAGAGGGAGATTTGTGACAGAGCTTGAAGTAGAAGCTGCTTGAAGCCGGTGGCTTTTAAGCCAGATGTCCCTGGATGGGAATGAAGGGCATTTGAAGGCAACAAGAGAAGAGAGGTCAGGGTTTGTGGGTCCTTCCAGTAGTGGAGACATGAGTATTTTTCCGAATCAGGATCCAAGACAACTATAGAAAGCTAGGCACCTAGTCTTACCAAAGATTCCCCTAATCTGGAGGGCTGGATAGAAGCAGCAGGAGCAAGATCCATGGATCTGAAATCGTGCCAGTTCAGTAAATGAACATCTGATCCCTAACCAGTATGACCAGGTATCTGAGGACGGTGGGAATCTCATGCTAGATCAGACCAGAGCATGTTTGTATGATTAATGGAGACAGGGAATCCCTAATAACAACTGAAGTAGACATCCCACCAACCTGCTACAGTTGAATTGAGGATCTTAAATTTATGTCCTTAAAGACAATATTTTCTTTTTAAAGACTTATTTACTTGGGAGATAGCGTGCCAAGTGCACACGCATGCACATGCAGGGGGGAGGGGCAGAAGGTGAGACTCTTCCAGCAGACTCCCTGCTGAGTACAGAGCACAGATAGTAGGGCTCTATCCCAATACCCGTAAGACCATGACTTGGGCCAAAACCAAGAGTTGGATGCTTAACCAACTGAGCCACCCAGGTACCCCTAAAGGCTATTTTTAAAAAAGATTTTATTTGACAGAGATCACAAGTAGGCAGAGAGGGAGGCAGAAAGAGACATGAGGAAGCAGTCTCCCTGCTGAGCAGAGAGCCCGATGTGGGGCCTGATCCCAGGACCCTGGGATCATGACCTTAGCCGAAGGCAGAGGCTTTAACCCACTAAGCCACCCAGGCGCCCCTAAAGGCAATTTTAAAATGTGTTATTTCTAACATGTTCATGTGTGTGAGCTAAGCTCCGTCTATGTGCTAGGTCTCCTATTCAAAGTTTCAAATAACGAAGGAAATTAACTCTTATGGTGTATTCTGAGTGTTAGGAACTATTACACAGCTGTCCTCTGAATCTATGAGTCCTTAAGAACTCTTCTAATTGGCCAGGCCCTACGTCCCTCAGAGGGGATAATGATTCTAAGACTATATGGCAAAGTATGAACTATGGTTATTTCAGGTGTGCGTGTGCTAGAAATTTCTTAGTTGTCCTCACTGATCCATTTTTTCTCTCTGCTGTGTGCCCCAAGCTTACCTGTGTAGATTACATCAAAGGTTTTCCATGCCCTTTGGCTTCAGTTTGATTAAAGGGTAATACCCAGAATAATGAGTTCAGGTATTTTTAATGCCCATATCCTGGATTCTCTGAAGTCTCTGTGAGCTGAGTCCTGAAGATCATAGCTGCTGTCAGGTGGCCCTTTCCATACAGCTGTCTACCAACCAGTAACCACTCCCTCCTCCCCTCCCTGTTCTTCTCCTACCCCTCCTCCACACTCTCCTTTACCACTCCCTCCCCTCTTACTCTACTTTTCTTTGCCTAGAGGTTACCATATGATGGACTGAATTGTGTCACTTCTAAATTCATACTGTGAAATCTTAACTCCCCAGTACCTCAGAATGGGACTGTGTTTGGAGATGGAATCTTTACAGAGATAGTTAAGTTAAAATGGAAACATTAGGCCTCCTTAGAAGAGATTAGGACACAGACAGCTGCAGAGGTAAAGACCATGTGAAGTCACAGGAAGGCAGCCATCTACAAGCCAAGGAGAGGATTCAGAAGAAACCAATCTTGCCAACACCTTGATTTTAGACTTCTAGACTCCAGAACTATGAGAAAATAAATTTCTGTTGTTTAAGCCACCTAGTTTGTGGTGGCTTTGATGTGGCAGCCCTAGCAAACTAATACATGCCATGACTCCTCTGTTAACAACTTAAGAAAAAATTCTCCATTAAACTTCTCAAATCATCTATTTTGAGTCCCATTTATTTCCTGCTGGGACCCTGACTGATCCAGTATGACTATACAGGACTTATTTCCAGATCTGTTCTCACTCTTATTTTCCAAAATTTCTGCAGTAACCAATGGAATATGTTTTTTTGTTTGCTAAAGAAGTAAAAAACACTGTTACGGAACAAAACGTGGTTTGGAAAATTTCCATATAGAATGGATTTATAATCATAGGCATCCAACATCAACCCTCCTCCACAAATCCCCTAGAGTCCCACTGTTACATCTAAGTAATGGATTACGAAAACAGAACAGGGCCTCAATGTTGGAACTAGGGAAATCTGCCATCCTTGGTCCAAAATCTACAAGTATTTCTGAAGGTGGCTGTTCCTGCTTCCTTTTGCGGCAAAGAGGAAGACTGTACAAGTGTAAGGAACTGTTATAGTACCCACTAAATATTCTGTTATACCAGCCCAACTTAGAGGGGCAAGGAGCATCAGAACAAAACTGGCTCTTATAAGTTGCACTAGAAAGCAATCATACTCTGAGAAGCCACAGTGAGAGGGCAGGGGAGGGGAACTGGCATGACAGGATACTCCTGGCTGCCACACCCAACAGAAAAAGGAATTCTTTCACTGGAGTCCAAACTCTCCTTTCATACCATCTAGATCCTCCCTGAGCCTGCTGACTTGTCAGCCTTGGTAATATTAAAGGCACACTGCAAAATTCTTGCTTTGAAATTTAGAAACAAATTTTATTTAAGATCTGAAATACAATTCCTAAAATATCAACTTCTCCAGAAAACCGTGGCTACACAATAATGCATTGCCTCTATCATGTTAGAACGTGCATTAGACTCAAATACAAAAACCATGAAACAAATCACCATCCTTCAACAATTTGAGCAAAGATAGAATGCCTAAGGAACAACATAGATGGACTTGCAGAGGATGGGCTGTTTTACTTCAAGCACCATAAAAAAAAGAGCACAAATGCATGGGTTTTCAGGTATATACATTAAGTTGAACCTTTGGCACTAGGAATCAGGGCATTTTGTCACGTAGCATTAACACATATTAGAAAATTGTGTAGTGTCAAAGGGATAGAACCACCAGCTTTCAAGCAATGTTGTCAACTAGGCAATAAAATGTTCTACTGAATGTTTCTTCTTTGTCTAATTACTGCGTACACTGGTAGCAACTTTGAAATGAGAAAAGGAGCTTGTACTCCTTTCATTTTCTGTTTAGAACAAAACAGAAAACAAACTGAAACATAAGCCCTGTTATACATTAACAATTTTAAAGAACATCAATTATACAAGGAAAAGACTAAGAACAAAAAGAGTGTTTACAGATACCAGACGTAACAGTGAGTGGTCAGTAGACCCTCACAGGGCTTTGCGGTGGTACTCAGCCGAAGCCACTTTGTAATCACTGGCAGTAAACAGAGATGCAGCATTCTTTGCCAGGTATTTTAGGAAATCATGCAAATAGCCCAACAATAATGCAAGGCTCTTCTCATCAAGGGGCGTATATGCCAACATTGCTCCAATTCTTACAAATAATCTCAGTAGGTGTGGGGCTCCATAAACCTGGGACATTGGTGCATCAGGGTGAGCCAAGAGGATTTCTGCATACTGGGGCCTCTCAAATTTGTAGAGCAGCTGAGTGCCCAACATCACATTGAAATATTCTTTTATTCCTGCCACAACTTCATTAACTGCGTATTCCTTGTTATCAACATTTCCCTGCGACTTTTTGCAATTTGCATACTCTTCCAGAATGGCATCTACATTTTTCTTAGCAGGGAGTTGAAAGAGCTGCTTCTGCCTGGTAACTAAGTCCCAGTCCTCAACAAGCCATGGTTTTAATTCTTCAGGAATCTTCACTTTAACTTCCATTCTATTCTTAAAGGCCTCCTCACTTTCAACAGTGGGATCGGCCCGGGCCCTTTTCTTCCGAGGTGGCTGGGGTGCTTCGCTGGTACTGCCACCATCTCCATTTCCAGGAGTCTTCTGCTTGTTCTTTCTTGTCTTCCTCACAGATCCTGAAGGGGGGTTCTCTGCAGAGCGACCCCCCCATCGCCCTGGGAGAGCCGGTTCCAGATTCTTCTGCTGTGGACCAGCAGTCTTCTTTCCTGAGGAGGCCCCTCTCATCTTACTTCTCTGCATATTGCTTCTAGTTGGTTTTTTAAAGTTGTCTTCTTCTGCAGATTGTTGTCCACGAGTTTGAGAACCCTGCTTTCTGGAACTCATTCAACCCTGTTTTTATTCCAACCACTGTAATATAAAGGATTTTACTTGGTTGTTTTCTGTCATGACCTTTAATACACACTGCTTCATAAAGGCTCACCAAAGTAAAACATAAGCTATTCTCTTGGAATTTGGATTTCAAATCCTAGTTCAGGGTCATCTGTTAAGTGACTTACTACCTCTACCCTCACTTTGATCCTCACTATCAACCACTACTCTCACCCCATCCGATCACTCATCAGACTTGCCCATAAGTTAGTTTTTTGGTACCGCTCAAAAGACAGGAATATAATTTTAGAAAAAGAATGAATTAAATGGAAAAAAACTGAAGAAGGCAGCAGAATTGAAATTAAAGGCTCTGAACAAGAGAAATGACAAGATGAAATAAGAAAGATTAGTTGACTGGAGGCAAAATGACTAACAGTAAATGCTTTTGCAGGAGTTCAGGTAGGCCTGACTTGGGGTGATGACAGAGTCAAACGAAACCAAATACAGAACTTGGTAAATGAAGAGGGAGCAAAGGTGGCTCTGCAATTTTAAGCCCAGGTAATTAATGAATTAATAAAAACACTGATTTTAATGGTTAGTTTAGAATTAACAATAAAGTAATAGGAAATAATTCATCCACTCCATAAGTCATCATACATTAATACACATCTGCTTTGGGACAGATACTATGCCAGATGCTAGTGATTTAAGTATCTAAAGTGGCAATTAAAAAACTAGGTTAGTACAATGAGAGTTATAGGCACAGAGTACTTTGGAGCAAATAAATGGCATATGACACAACTTCTAGTATTAGCTTGTTGGAGGAGGTGATAATTCAGTGAGGGAGAAGTCAGTGATGACTCCCAGGTTTTGAGAATGGGTGATTAAGGCATTAGTATTATCACCAAATGAGACTGCATCTAAAGGAGGAGGAAGTCGATTAGAGAGGAAAGAAGTTCAGTAGTGGATCTACTAAGTGTGAGGTATACAGTTAGACATTTAACTTTAAAGCTCAGGTGAGGGTCAGAGCCAGAAACGGAGATCTGAGAGTAATCATCATACAGCTGCTACCAGAAGCTATGAAAACCATCAAAATCATTCACAGAGAGAAGAGGAAGAAAAACTGAACCAAAGTATGAAATTGTGGAAAAACCTGAAAGGAATGATTAAGGGGTGAGCAGAGAGACCAAAAACCAAACAAAAATGGTCAGAGCAGCCATAGAAGATTAGGAGAATGCTATTTGGGAAGCCAAAGAAGTTGAGAGTTTTAAGGGCAAGGGGTAATATACAGTATAAAATATAGTAGAGAGAACTAGTAAGATAAAGATGAAAAAATAGTATTCTATGATTCTTAGTGTGACAGATGAAGCAATTTTTTTGACTTACATAATCCTCTTCCTTCTTTCCCTTCCAAGAACTCCTCGTGTTTTCCCAGATGGAACCTCCTAGATCTCCTGGAATGGTCTGGAAGGATGAGGCTGGGGACACAACCTAGAAAGGAAAACAGATTATCTGCAATGAAGATGAACTTTTGTGAAATAACACAGAAAAAAAAAATCTAGTTTTTTGACCATATGGTTTACAACTGCAATTATCAGAGAAAATATATGACCTCTGCTGTTAGACATACTTCTACTTCTATTAGACTCTGCCATTTATGAATTGTGAGGACTTGGGCAAGATATGCAAGCTCTCTTAGCCTCTTTTACTCATCTAATGAGGCCAAACTATTCCTTGACTTCACAGGTTCTTCTTAAGAACTTCATAAATGAGGGGGCGCCTGGGTGGCTCAGTGGGTTAAAGCCTCTGCCTTCGGCACAGGTCATGATCCCAGGGTCCTGGGATCGAGCCCCGCATCGGGCTCTCTGCTCAGCAGAGTCTGCTTCCTCCTCTCTCTGCCTGCTTCTCTGCCTACTTGTGATCTCTGTCAAATAAATAAAATCTTAAAAAAAAAAAAAGAACTTCATAAATGAGACCTGGCTAAATAGCTAGCATAGTATCTTGCAGGAATACACGTGAATATGGGTATAAAGATGTTCACTGCAGTGGTGTTCTTAATACCGAAGAACAGGAAACACCTCAACATTCATCGGTAAGGCAATGGGAACACAGATTCTGTATGCACACTACAGAAGAACATTCAAATGAATTAAGCAGAGAACCATGAATGAATACATAAAGATGTTCAATGCTACATTAGATAAATAGGCATAATGCTTAATAGGTACAATAAGATCCTGGAGAGAGAGCACAGGCCAAGATATAACATCAGTCCTGTACAATTCTTATGTACAGTGTGCTCAAATTCCTCTTTTAAACTGGTATGTATAAATGCATAGGAAAAGTATCCAGATGAATCAGTACCACTGTTAAAATCAGGGTAACCGGGACGCCTGGGTGGCTCAGTTGGTTAAGCAGCTGCCTTCGGCTCAGGTCATGATCCCAGCGTCCTGGGATCGAGTCCCACATCGGGCTCCTTGCTCATCAGGGAGCCTGCTTCTCCCTCTGCCTCTGCCTGCCATTCTGTCTGCCTGTGCTTGCTCTCTCTCTCTCTCTCTCTCTCTCTCTGACAAATAAATAAATAAAATCTTTAAAAAAAAATCAGGGTAACCTCTGGGAAAAAATGATGATGGTAGATCAGCCTTAAACCAGGTTTCTCTGGTAACTATTAATTTCACCCACATAAAAAGGCCCTCGGCCAATCCCTAGCCCTTAAAACAATGTGAGCAGGTGTAAAGGAAGCCCTGAGGGGACAAATAAGAGGTAAAAAATGCTAGACAACTAGAGCCTTGAATCAGGGAAACCAGTTATTGGGAAGACAGGCCTGAGTACCAGAGCTTTCACTATGCAAATGATACCCTCTCACTAAAAGGACACAAAGATCTGAGTAAAAAAATGAAGGGCAAAGGAGGTCCTCAGAGAGCACCAACTCTGTGAATACGGATATTGACCCTGTGGGAATCAGAAACCTGCCTGAGGGATAAACAGACACATCCTGTGAAGGATCAGACAGTGGCCAGTGTGTCATGGCATTACACTGTAAGCTATCGAGCTTACAAAAAGGATGTTTCTAAACAAATACTGTGCCCAGGACAGAGGGGACACAGTATCTGATGTTATCAGAGAATTTAGTTAAGTAATTTACTTGAAATTCAGAAAACCCACCTCAGAGTTTAGTACAGAGCTTCCACAAAACAAGGGGGACAGTTAAAATACCAACTAAAGAAAGCAAGACGGCTCAGTGCCAGCCAGACTGTGAAACAGAAGTGAGGCCAGGTGGGATGGGAAGTATTTTGGAAGTTTCACAGTCATCAGCAATTCCTTACTGAGGAGGAACTTTAAAATGATAGCTGAACCTACTGTACATCCCTGGCATTGACCACATATATTCATTCATAGGAAAACTACAAAAAGGAATTCTACCTGGTTCTAATTAACTGGGTGGGTTCTGTCATTCTCTACAAATTCTTCCCCTCATATAGTCTCAATGAAATATGACATTTTACAGAAAAATACCTGCACCATGAATCAAGGTTTGTGACTGCTTAATAAAGCCACGGAAAGAGCCTTTGTATTAGTTGTCTCAGTTCCTTTATTTTCATCCTACAGATCAAACAAGCAACTATTACTATCTGGAAGTCAGAAACCAGACATGAAAAGGGAATACCTACCTTTTGATGTCTGGCTCCTATTTGTAAGTTTCTGGATAGCTAGCTTTCCACTCTGTACGTCCCTTCCCAGCTTAACACTGCTCCATGATCAATGACAGATGTGCTGTGCATATTCATTTAAAAAGTTTGCACTACAGATTACTTAATTTGGGGCTATTTTAAACTGAGTTTGCCAGTTTGTCTTGAGTTTCAGGCTTTATTAGTGTTTACTGGCTTAGTACACCTACCCTTTGCTCCATAATGCTCTCTCCATTATCTCCATCTAAATACTACAGAAGTCTTCTTTCCCCCTCAAATCTCCAACTCTAGTCCATGTTTCTCTCCCATCTCCAATACCATATGAAGTGGATCTTAGTACTCCAGAGTTTAAATGTTTTGTGTTAGTTTTGCTTATAGAACCATACCATTAATCTATTTGCCACAGGTCTTGTGTTACACATATCACATGTATCTTGGAGCAGCACTTAGGTCCCTGGGGGGCACACTACAGAGAAACAAAGTGAGGAAGTGATTCAATACATGAAGAAAATGGAGGCACAAATTAGGGACAAGTCATCAAATATTTTCCCACTTGTTTTCTACAGGTCAGCTCTGGGGGTAGGTCAGACCTTGAGAAAACACATTTGTAGATTTGCCCTAGTTTTCTAAATTTATGTGTAAATACTTATTTATACTGATCATCAAATCTCAACCTTCCCTTTTTAAAAATGTGGTATCACAAACTAGTTTTCTTTCCATGTGACATAATATACATCTTGAGAGCTGTGTACTTCATCAAATGGTCCTACCTCAATCTAACCACCCTTAACAGAAAGTGATTCCTTTTCAATTTACCCTGCAGTAACTATTGCAACATTTTTGTCCTCATTTCCTATTATTTAATACTTCCAGATGCAGATTTAGGGGGTCAAGAGGTAGTAACATGTCACCAAATTACTTCTCCAAGCTGTGCCAGTTTCCAACCTTACTAGGAGTGTGTAAAACTATCACTTATACTCTGGTCAGCAGTGGCTAGGCTCATCTACAACATCTGATAAAATGTTTAGTTGTTCAGTTTTTATTAGAGACATTTTAACATTTAAAAAGTGTCTATTGACTATATAGGCGTTGGTCCTGTGCCCATTCAGTTGGTTCTTAGTGATTTTAACATCTATAGGAGCTTTTCAAAAAAAATTTTATTTAGGGGCGCCTGGGTGGCTCAGTGGGTTAAAGCCTCTGCCTTCAGCTCAGGTCATGATCCCATGGTTCTGGGATCGAGCCCCGCATCCAGCTCTCTGCTCAGCAGGGAGCCTGCTTCTCCCTCTCTCTCTGCCTGCCTCCCTGCCTACTTCTAATCTCTGCCTGTCAAATAAATAAAATCTTAAAAAAAAAAAACCACCTATGACTATTGTGAATGGTGCCTTGTTTTTACTTCTGCATTTATTCAAATGTATGATGCATCCCAATTTCAGAGACATTAAAATGTGGGAAAATGTCTTTTTAAGATTTTGTTTATTTGACAGAGAGAGATTACAAGTAGGCAGAGAGGCAGGCAGAGAGAAAGGGGGAAGCAGGCTCCCCACCGAGCAGACAGCTCAATGCAGGGCTCGATCCCAGAACCCTGGGATCATGACCTGAGCTTAAGGCAGAGGCTTTAAGCCACTGAGCCACCCAGGTGCCCTGGATCTCTTTATATATCAAAAGTTGTCATTCTGTGGCAGATACTTCCCTTAGTGTTCTTTTACAGTGCCTGATGCTAAGATTTTAGAGTTTTACATATTGAAACGTTAGCTTTCCTTTCCACTGTTAAAAGATTTCATTTTAATGGAGGTTTTATATTTTCTTAATCCATCCAGAATTTGCTAAGTTATGAACAGAAAATCTGCATTATTTTCCCCAAGTAGTCAATACTGTGGCATCATTTATGGGTAATCTTTCCTTTACATAGGTGTAAATTCCAAAATACATAAAAATGGGGGAATTCCTCCTTTTCATCCCCTCCCTAATCCCAAAATAACTGTGTAAGCTTTCAGATCTTATGTGCATAGTCACACAAATACATAATCTTTAAAACTAAATGTGTATTTTATATTTCATTTGGCAACTGTGAGACATATTGCCCCCCACCTTTTCTCACTTTGTCATGGGCATCTTTTTGTCCACACATACCTAGCTCATTCTTTTTAATATTCACATTACCCTATAATCTCTATGTGGCAGAATTTAACCAGTCCTTTATTAACTTTTAAGTTGTTCCCAATACTTCATTATTACAGAAACGCTGTAAGAGTCGTCAGTGTACAGATATATTAGAGCATTAGGGATTTCAGGGCTATTCTCAGAAGCAGAACTGTTCAAAGGATCGGTGTACTTTTAACTTGGATGAGACAGAGGCAAATTCAATTTGTAAAGAACCACTTCAATTTGTACTCCCAGCAAAAATTGTTAAAGTTCATTCACCTATACCTTGAGCAACAGGGATATACGTCTTTCAGAAAAATTTTTTTTTGCTTATCTAGTATGTAGTATATCATTGAGTATCTTTCACACATGCATGTGTATGTTTTTCTTATGTGAATATATTTGTTTCTATACTAGATTGTTTGCTTCCTTTACTGATTTCTAATAATTAAATCCTAAGTATTCCTGGATATGTTGGAAACATTTTTTCCAAACTCATTTTCCCTCTCTGGGGGTGTGTGTATACATAAAATCACACAGAAAAATATGTCAACGTTTTCCTTTGTGAACTTGGCATTTATGTCACACCTAGGGAAAATGCTCCCTAATCAATATTCTAAAAGTGATTTCCTGTATTTCTTGGTATTTCTATAGTTTCTTCCAAATATGTAACTTTTCCTAATATTACTTATTAAAGAGGTCATCCTTTCCACACTGATCCGAAATGCTATTATAGAACATTCTAAATTCCTGATGTGCATGGGTCTTTTAAGGTACTCTTCCCAATGATTTGATTATTCAATTGTTAAATGTTATCACTATTTCTAGATCACCTATTCTGTCACAGTGGTATCTGTTCTCATACCAGCATCACACTGGTTTAATTATCATAGACATAAATGTTGCCCTAGAATAACACTTGTAAACGGTTTCCAAGGATGTTTGATGCATTACTTGAAGTAGCAAACACTGAAGTCAACGTGGAGGACTATCACTAGTGATTGTAAAGATAAAATGTGGTTTATCCATAATATGGATTATCATGCTAGGCAAAACAATGTCACTGTGAAAGGAATCAAATAGAACTCTAAGAATGAACATGACATCCAAGATAATTCGTTGAATAAAAATAGCAAGTTGCAAAAACAATACCTATAGTGTGAGAGATACCATATTTATGTAAAAGAAAACACTATATATATATATATATATATATATATATATATATACACATCCATATGTATGTATGTATATATATATATATCCATGTATGTTTTTCAACAGGTACTTAATTTAGAGATCTAGAAGGAAACAGAACTGAGAATAGTGATTAACTGGAGAATGTAAGAGAACTGGAGGTTAAGAAATAGAAACCTGAGCCTACTTCAGAGTATTTAAACCTTTTCATTATAAGGACAATATATTCACGTATCAATTATGAGACTAAAAATCTGTCTTAAAATATACATATTTAAATTCCATGATTTTTTAAAATCTATTCTTATCCTTCGATCTCAACAGCTGGACTTTTCAGTAAATTATCACTGTTTATAATACATTTTGTAGGCATACCATTCAGACTGGTTTCCCTCCCCCCTTCTAGGTTCTGCCCATTCTTGTAGGTGCAGGTCAAGGTCCTTTTCCTCTTTGAGGCTTTCTCCATTTTAGGATACCCTGGACCTTGCCTTCTGAGCTCCTACTGGCGTAACAGCCCATCTCCCTCCCTTTTGCCCTTAATCATTCTCCAAATGGCCTCCTGTAAAGGGGTTTTGTGCCTACCCATCTACTGCATCTTTCCCACCAGTGCAGCACCCTCCTCTGCAACCCAGCTTTCAGAAGAGAAAAAAATTAGAAGGAAAATACAGTGACTTCATGGGAAAATGAACCTTTCAAGTCACTAAAAAAACCTTCTTTCATCCCCTCATGCAAGTGATGGGCCATTTCAGAATGCAGACTCCGAAAGCTAACATTTTGGTATGGGTGTGTCACAAATCAAGTGTGAACAACATCTCCTATGGTTTGTTGGAATAAACCTTTAAATACACATATACCATGCCAGTTACATTTATATCCATTCTCTTCTGAATCTTGGAACACTTCCTTTATGTTTAACATATTTTTTGAGTCTGAGACAAAGGAGGAATGACACAAAAGCTGTTAGCAGACTGAATATGGTTATGATTTCCAAGTTAAAATTATAGTGCCTGGAAATTCCCTTGTAAATAAATATGATCAATATACTCAGTATCTTTCTAGATTGTTAGGACAAGCCAGAAGTCTTAATTTCAGAATTCAGTTCTAGAGGTAACTGCTGCTTCTGGAAAATCAGGAAAGAAACCAACAGCATTATTATTATTATTATTTTACATTTCCAAACAGAAGAATCCACTGCTTTTAGAAGTTTAAGAGTGTATGTGTGGGTAAACCAGGATGTACCAGAAGGACTAACAGAACCATAATTATTATTAAAGCAAACACTTATATGTGCCAAGCACTGTCCCTTCAAAAATCCTACGAAGTAGGAACTATTACCATCTTTATTTTACACATGAGGAAATTCAGGGACAAAGGGAGGTAAGTACCTTGCCCAGGATCATACAGCAAGTGGCAGAGACAGAACTCAAATTAAGGAAGTCAGTATTTGCTTTAAACCACTAAATTATGCTGTACATGAGATGCCACGAAGTTTTTAAAGAAAGAATTATACACACACACACACACACATATAAGTATATGGAACTAACCCTAGGGTATCAACTGTATTATCTTTTATCAAAGAATGTAAGATTACACAGTCCTCTAGGCACTTGCTACACTGGAAGCACCCATCCTTTTCTTCTTAGAATTTAGAGTCCTTTTCCAGATAGGTGCTTATTAATCTTCAAAATATTCCTTGACAGTTAGGAAGGTTATGTGGAATTATCTTGTTTGAGAACTGAGGCCAGGAGAAGGGAGGCACTTACCCAGTTTCTGTAATCAGGGATGGTTCTGCAATCAGGATCAGATCTTCTGATCCTTACAATACAGCAAACTTAGCTTTTCTGATGATGGCCTGGAAGGTCAAAGAAGGGGACAAAAAAGGACATAACGTAAAAAGATAGGAGATCCTTTTTTTTTCCTCCGCCAACCAATGCATTTATCACACACAAAGGACACCATGCCTGATAAATAATGTACAAATGTTTCTTTTTCCTTTCTTGTGGTTATATTTTCAAAACGACTTTACTGTACATTTATCTTTATTTCTGATAAAGTAACTGTCTTTTTATACTTCTTATGAATAATAATTTCAAATGAATAAAAATGTAGAAGGAAGAGTAATATAAACCTATACCAATCACCCAGCTTCAACAATTACCAACTGAAGGCCATCTTGTTTCATCTATAACCCCACCCACTTCTCCCCCCCACTCCGATTTTTTTTAAGCGCAAGGAATAGCTGATTTTCTGCATTTTATTATGGAAAATGTCAAACATATACCAAGGAAGACATAATAATATAAGGAACCCCTTATGCCCCATCACTCAGATCAAACAATTATTAACTTAGGGCCAGTTTTGTTTCATCTATGTCCCTCCCCATTTCCCCCTACCGCTGAGATTATTTTGAAGCAAATTCCAGTCATTAACGTACATGAAGTCATTCCCAGATATTTTATTACTTAATCCGCAAATATTTTCCTATGTTTCTCTACAACATAATTTGAAACTGTAACCATTAATGCCATTACAACGTCTAAAAAATCGACATCAATTCCTTAAAAAAAAAAAAAGCAAATCCGTCTTCAAATTTTCCCGATGCATCTTAAGCAGCTTTTTTTTTTTAAGCTGGTGTGTTCGAATCAGGATCCAAACAAGGCCTACTGATCGCATGTGGTTCATCTTCTGATTGCTCTCGTTCCCCATCTCCCCCCCCCCCGGCCTTTTAAACTTTTCAATATGGAAAATTCCAATCCCCGCTATTTTAAGCTAATTCTCAAATAGTAAATTATTTCATCAGTAAAGACTGATATGTCTCTTTTACAGCTCGAATTTCTTATAGGAAAGAATTTGATGGGCAGGGAAAACTCTATAATGAACGAATTTACATAATTTATGTTTTTCTTTCATTCTGTTACGCGGGTTTTTCACTACACAATAATAGCGAATAACTTCCGGAACCAGGATTGGTATTAAGTGTCTTATACGCACTAATACACAGTACAAGCCTGTGAGGTACACGTCTCTGAGGTAGATACTATTATATCACCATTTTACAAACATGGAAACCGAGACACTGAAAGAACAGGAGCCAGCCCAAGCTGGGCGTTGGCGAGTAGAAATTTGAATGCAGCTCTGCTCAATTGCGAAGCCATTAGTTAATCTCGCCAATATATGCGACGATAAAAAGAAATCGTCAACCCTTTCACCCCACCCCCACCCCGAAACCTGAAACGAGAATCCAGTTCTTTCCAGCAGCCGACGTGTGATCACTGCCGTTCCTCCAACCGCCATAGTAAAGCCAGGTTTCTCTGGCAACTGATATCCATAGGCAGACACGTCACCCTGGAGGCGGGATTATAGCCTCCAGCCAATCACAATCGTCTTGTCTAAGTTTTAGAATGTTCCATAACCAAATGATTGGACAAGGCCTAACACGTCAGCGATGACACTTCGCCGCAGTAAAGGCGGGTGCTAGCAACCTGCTTCTTCACGGTTAAGGCTTGAGGCGAGCCAATCATCTTTTTTCTTTAGTGCGGGCTCTGGCCAATGACTCTCGCCCTCTTAGGTTCTTAGCCCGCCCTCCAAAAGCGCGACGGCCGTTGGGTCAGAAGTCTATAGGGCAGGGTGTTCACGTGGCCTATTTTCACGACCCAGAGTTCCCCTGACCAGAGGTTTTTTTTTTTTTTTTTTTTTTTTTTTCCCGCGGGGGGGCATTATGGGTTTTTTTTTTTCTCCACTGGGAAAGGAAGTGTCTACGTGGCCTGCGGAAATAGGATGGGCGGAAATGAGCTAAGGTTCCAGCGAGTGGGGAAGCGCGAGGTCAAATTTGGGGCCACGCCCCCGAATCTCTTGCGCAACTGTCGGAGCAAAAAAAATAAAAGCGGAGCAGGGGTTTTAATGTGTGAGTTGGGGTGGTGGGTGTGTGGGTGCGTGGTGTTGGGGCGTGTTTGTGTGCGGGCAAGGTCGCGTAGCCTTGGGGTTGGGATGTGTACGCAGCAGCCCTCGTGGCGTCGGTGGTGGTGAGTTTGCGCAGGCGTGCTCCCCTAGCGTTGGGACACAAGCGTTGGGGCCGGTGTGTGTCCTGGAGCGAGGCCGTGCGTGTGCGCGCACATGTGTATGTGCTTGTGTGCCTGCACGCGCGCTGTGTACCGGATGGTATCTACTTCGTGTAAGTTTGAAAACTGTTCTAATGAAAAGGAAAATAAGTAAAGGCGCCCATAACCAATAAAGAGCCTTTGCCAGAAATATTTTAGCCTTTCCTATCGATTTAATTTCAGACCCTAAAAATACCCTTAATTCCCACATTTTTCTCTGCTGACAAAATCCTGTTCTAAACCATAGCCCACCAATAAATAGTTCAGAGCCAAACGCTCCCATCCCCATATGAGCAGGTGCAGCTTCTTTCCCGTTTCCTAGAAACTTCTCCCTGCCCCCCCCACCAAGTTGACTGCCATTCTCTTGGCACAGACACAGATTTCTGCCGGTAACATACGTGATAGCCTTCCCCTCCGTCTCTCTCCCTATCTATATTTATACACACACACAGACTCTGAATTTCTGTGGGGGCTGAGACTCTCTTACCTTTTTGTCCTGATCTCCAAGCACAGTGCCCTTCAGGCAAGTACGCGGTCAGCTAGTTTTCCAGAAAGTTCTCTGGGTGAGGTTTATACCTCTTGAGTCTGCCACTAGATGCCACCAAATCCCAGCAAAGGATTGGCTGTTTAGTCCCTGGAATTATGGGATTTTGTTCCCCCTCTTTCTGATTTGTTGAACTCCACAAACAATGTATAGGGAATCATGTATATTTTTCATTGGTAAGGAAAAAATCAAATTAACTTTTGAAAATAGCCCAAGGAGGCAGAGAACTATGGCCCTAGATTCAAATGTTTTTCCTTATTTCTTCTTAAAAAAATTCCCCCTCCCGCCCTCTCTTCTTTCCTCCTTGCCTTTTTTTTGGGGGGGGGGGTCAGAATTAATGAATGACCCCAGGCACTGATGCTGATAAAGATCTGAATCCTTTCTGTACATCTTTTTTTCCAATGCTAACAACATTCCCCAGTGGAAAATACAGATAGCTGTTTAGTCAATAAAGACAGATAAAAACATGGACCCTGATAGTGAAAACCGATCTTTTTCTCTTGAAATTTTTATTAAATATGTGCACCCTATTTTTTGTAGTGGCACTGCTACACTTTGTTATGTCTTTGGAGTTAGAGACCCAATTTTAATTCCCCACTTAGCTGTGAGACCTTGGGCAAGTGATTTATGTTCTGTGATGCTCAGTTTTCTTGCATACTTTCTATATTTTAGATGCTGTGTCATATCCTTTACATGGATATTCTTTTATTCCTCACAAGTCCTTATTAGATGGGTATGAATAAAACAAAAAAAATTAATGTATCTTTCAATTGCTAATCATATACATTTGTGTGCATGCACACATGTGCACACTCACACACAAAGTGTAGGGGGCGAGATTTAGAGCTGTGGTTCTCAGAGTGTTTTCCAGACCCAGTGGTAGCATTATTACCACTTTTGGGGAAGTTGTCAGAAATTCAGATCCTCAGGCTCCACCTCAAATCTAATAAATCAGAAATCCTAGGGGTGGTGTTTGGTGATCTGTGTTACACTGTTCTGCTGATTGCAATGTACACTGAAGGTAAAACCACGGCTTTGGAAGGCAGAAATGCAATGCTGGTTTTGTACACTCCACTAGAGGGTGCTACAGAACTTACAGTGAGGTCATAAATGATATATTAATTGAGACACCCTACATATTTTATAAAAAAATTTTGTCCTTTTTCATTGATATATAGTTGACATACAATGTTATATTAGTTTCAGGTGTACAACATCCTGCATATTATCAGATCCATTTTAAGATTAAAAACTAACTATAGAGGTGTTCAGTTGTTTTCTCGGTGTGGACAAGTATGGGAGTCAGGATTTGAACTTTACCTGTTTCTCAAGCCCAGACCCTTGACAGTACTCTGTTTTTCATCTATAATAGCTTGTCTTGCTGGGCCTCAAAATATATTACAGATACCTTGTTCCCTGCTTGGATAACATTGACTAGACCACCAAGAAGAGGGCAGGAAAGCAAACTAAGTAAGTGGAAATATTTTGATGATTTCATACCCTCCCTCGTATTTCTTCTGTAATATCAAGTAAAGCTCATGAGTGTTTTCCTTCTTGTTTTTATATTTCCCAAATGCTCTCTGTATCCTACTCTCTTTTTTAGTTTATGTCTGAACCTTATCTATGTGTGGAAGAGAAATCAGGGTGGTCAGGAAACAGTTGTTGAAAGCCTATTATGGGCCACACTATATAGCTCTATACACATTAATCCCAACTATAGGCCTGTAAATTAGGTGATGACTATCATCATTTTATAATGATGAAAATGAGTTCTAGAGACTATAATTATTTTTCTTTGGTCATACAACTTGTAAGTGGTGGAGTCTGGGTAATTCCTGGTATATCTGACAGTATTACCCGCTAAACTTTCTACTGCTCAGTTTTGAATCTTGTTTAGTTACTGTTTATGTAACTTTCATCATGTTATTTTATTTTTCTGAGCCTCAGTTTTGCCATACATTAAGTGGGAAGAAATATTCCTGCTTCATGTTAGAGGTGCAATATCTAAAACAGTAGCCATTAGACATGTGGGTATTTAAATTTGAATTACAGTTAAGTAAAATTAAAAATTCAGTTCCTCATTTGTACTAACCACATTTCAAGGTCTCAACAGCTACTTAAAGCTAATATTAGTACCATCTTGGACATCCATAGGTACAGAACATCCCCACCATCCCAGAAAGCTTTGTGGTACAGTGCTGATTTAGAGTATATAAAGTATGTAAAAGGACTTAGCTTAGTGTATAATTCATGGTAGGTGCCCAAGAAAAGTGATTTCCTTTGCTCTTTCCTTTCAGTGTTAGAGCTAGGTATGTTCTTCTGTTTTACTGACGGAGTCAGGAGAAGGGAGTAACTTACCCAATGTGCTGTAACAGAGGATATGTCTAGCATTGGGACCTACATCTCCTAACTCTCTAGAATTCTCTCTAGTGGACCCATCCTTATGTGCTACTCTGTTGAATGAGATCTCAAGACTGAGGATGTGAATAATGTGAATTAACTTTGGAGTCAGGGCAGTAGCAGAAAAAGACATAGGAACTGAATGCTTTCTATGTTCCAGTCAGCACTGTGCTCAGTTCTTTGCATTTATTATCTTAGGGAATCTTCACTGAAGCCCGGAGAAGTTAAGTACTCACTTCACGTTGTCAATTAGTAAATGGCAGAGCAAATATTCAGACTTCTTTTTGACTCCAAAGCCCATTTTTTTTTCATTATGCAATACTACCCTCTCCAATGTGAAAACTCTCCTGCCCATTCCACTTACTAAGTAGGATAAAGGTTCAGCAGATTCCTGCTTCTTAGTGGGTCCTCAGAAAATTCAAGTTACTCTTCTTCCTTTTGCATTTATAGCTGAACCATCATCTTCACAATCCGTTTCAACTGAAAGGGAAAGATAGCTGAAATTACTTTTTGTTTGGCTTCAAGATCCCAAGTCCAGAGTTTACAGTCCCAGCCTTCAGAGAGAACACCAAATGGATCCAAGATCTCTACGTTAATTTTCAAGGCCACCAGTTGCTCAGACAATGCCTTTGTGCTAATTAGAAACGTGAGCCACCTGGGGGCAGAAAAATTGTAGAGAAGTGTCCACTCCAGTGAAACAATGAGAAAAATACTTTTCTTTCTCAGAGATGTTGGAGTTTCACCAGGGCAGTGGAAGAATGAATTTCAGCCTCTGTGTGTTCCCTCTCATTGGGTACCCTTGTGCAGGGGGGCAACCTGCCCTGCCTAACAGTATCTGTTGCCCTTGCCTAGTGGCTAAGAGCCTTTCTAGGTCTGGAAATTTGTGTCATTGTTTTCTGGAGAGAGTAGATAGGGTCATCAGTATCCTCTCAAGGCTTCTGGATAGTAGATGAAATTGTTGCATTCTTAGGTTATTTTGACATTTTTTCATTTGGTTCTTACTAGCTTACTGGATGATTTTTAAAAGATTTTCATTAATATTTCAAGGCTAAGCAAAATGGTATTTCTTTTTTTTAAAGATTTTATTTATTTGACAGATCACAAGTAGGCAGAGAGGCAGGCAGAGAGAGGAGGAAGCAGGCTCCCCACTGAGCAGAGAGCCCGATGTAGGGCTTG